CTTTCAAACTTGGTTTTGGATAATCCCTTAGTTAGGATGTCAGCCACTTGATCATCACCATTGCAGTGGACCAGTTTTACTTCTCCTTCCTGCTCAGCTTCTCTCACTGCATGGAACTTGATCTTTATGTGTTTAGTTCTCCCATGATGGACTGGATTCTTAGCCATAGCCACAGCTGATTGATTATCACACATTATCACAGTAGGATGCTTCTGTTTCAGCTTCAAATCTTCTAGGATTTTTCTCAGCCAGACATCCTGATTCATAGTAGCTGCAGCTGAAATGTACTCTGCCTTTGTTGTGGATTGTGCAACCGTTTCTTGTTTCTTCGACATCCAGCAGATTGCACCATGATTCAGGAAGAAAGTATACCCTGAAGTGCTTTTCATGTCCTCCACTGAACCACCCCAGTCACTATCTGAAAAACCAATTAAACCAAAGTCTTCTGACCTCCTGTACCATACTCCAAAGCTGGTGCTCCCTTTCACATACCTGAGCACTCTTTTTGCAGCTCTAAATTGTGTTTCTTTGGGCTGATTCATAAACATGGACAGTAGGCTAGTTGCAAACATGATGTCTAGCCTAGTTGCTGTAAGATATAACAAACAGCCAACCAAGCTTTTGTACTGACCCTTATCAACACTTTCTACATTTTCATCTTTTGACAGCTTCAGATTTGGAACCAGAGGCACATCCACTGATTTGCAAAACCTCTACCATTATGGATTCAAAGTCCTACTAGGATATGAAGATCCTATGACTACTATATAAACAGTGGCCACACCTCTATTTTGGCATTCAATCTAAATACCACATACTTCCACCGAAGCTCTTACTCCTCAGAGTTATACACCTAAGTTGTGGTTCTAGTCTTCGACTAAACTTTCGGTAACCCTTCCTTCCCTTAGCCCTCACTAAATTATCTCATTCAGCCTTATTGACCTGAGCGTTAGAATGCCTACGACAGACACCACGCCGGTGTTTACGTAAGCTTCACACTTGTTTACTTTGTATGCAGGTACAATAGATTTTCAGTGGCCTCAACCTCACAGGATCAGACCTTCTTCCAGTAACTGTAGATTTTAGCATCTACAGGTATATATTTTGTATGAGAGTTGGATTACATGTTTTATAGATGTAAAGGTTTTTGTGTTAGCTGATATAAATGTTTGTGGCAGTGATAAAAACCGGTCTCAATGTGATCTTAGCTTGCAGTATACCTAAGAATAGTCCTATGCTTGAGGTTTGGCACTCTCTTACGTGTTTTTGTTTTGGTTAACATCACTTCTTTTTGTTGTTGTGTGTTTAGAGCTTGTTGCTGATATATATATATGGGTTTTTAGGTAAATGCGGAGAAGAAGTTGGTTGAGAAGCTGATAAGTTCGGGGTACACAAGGCCAAAATCTTCATAGCGAAGAGGGGCCGCTTTTTTTTTTTTTTTTTTTGGGGGGNTTGAAAATCCATTTAACTTGGATCACTTTTCTGTTTTGAGGTTTGTCCACCAAGTTCCAAGTTTGGTTCTTTTCAATCATTGCAAGCTCCTCCTTCATGGCCACTCTCCACACCTCTGATTTTGCAGCCTCAAAGTAACATGTTGGCTCAAGTGAAGCCATGTTGCATCTCTAATAAACCTCAGCTAAAGGTCTGGTACCTCTAACTGAAATTTCATCTTCCACATCACTCTCAACATCATCAAAAATCTACTCATGTATAGCTTCTGTCCAGCCTGGTTTTATCTCTACGTCAAGTTTGTTTTCTTCCCAATTCCATACTCCATCCTCATCAATCTTGACATCCCTGGAAATCTGAATTTTTCTGGTTTCTGGAACATATACCCTATAGGCTTTAGATTGACTGCTATAGCCTATAAAGATGCCAATTAATGCCTTTTCATCCAGCTTGGACCTTTTTGCTACTGGAACCAAAATGTAGCATATACTCCCAAAAATTTTTAGCCTCTCTACTGTTGGTTTAACTCCATACCATGCTTCATAGGGTGTTTTGCTGTCCAAGGCTTTTGTGAGAAGCCTATTGAGCAGAAAAACTACTGTGTTAATAGTTTCTACCCAAAATTTCTTTGGCACTCTCTTCTCAGCCACCATGCATCTAGCCATCTCTACAACTGACCTGTTTTTCCTCTCACTGACTCCATTTTGCTGTGGAGTGTAGGGGCTACTGTATTGGTGCTTAATTCCAGCATCTTTGCACACTTGCTCAAACTCTTGAGAAGTGTACTCTGTACCATTATCACTTCTCAGGCTCTTTATGGTTTTTTCTGCCTGATTTTCCATCAGAAGCTTGAACTCTCTAAATACACCAGCAACCTGTCCTTTTTGCTTCAGAAAATACACCCAACACATCCGAGAATAGTCATCAATGAATAACACAAAGTATCTACTTCCATTTAATGACAAGGTTTCCATGGGACCACATACATCTGTATGGATAAGTTGCAGTTTTTCAGTTGCTCTCCAGGTTTGATTTGCGGGAAAGGATTGCCTACTCAACTTGCCAAGTTGACAGGCTTGGCACATAGTATTACTCTCCTCTAATTCTGGCAGGTTATGGAGTAGCTTCTTGGTCTGAATTTCTTTGAGACCTTGGTAATGGACATGACCAAGTCTCTTATGCCATTTCACAAATTCATCTACCTTTGCACTGCAGACCCTAGGTTCAGTTTTTTTTAGTTTGATGGGAAAGCTTTTTCCCACCATTTTTACTCTCATTAACTCACACCCCTTACTATCTAAAATCTGACAGATTTGATTTTCAAAATGTAAAACATAATGGTTTTCTAACATTTGTCCTACACTTAGGAGGCTTTAAGTGATTTCGGGTGCATAGAGTACATTTGAGATAAGTTTTGTACCTGTGGAAGTTTGGATTGCAACATCTTCCCTCCCCTTTGCTTCAACATAATCACCATTTGCCACTTTAATCCTGGACCGATGTGCTGAGTTTAATCTCACAAAATCCTGCAAGTGTGGTGTCATATGGTTTGTACACCCACTATCAACCAGCCAGTCATCATAGCAGGTTAGTGGTGCACTGCAGAGGCCATAAACAGCTGTTCTACTCCCTGTTTTGGTTGCTGGTCCTCTGTCACTTGTGCTTGCTGTTGGGACTGCTCTCCCTTGCTCTTGCACACTCTCTCTATATGGCCAAACTGCTTACATGCTCTACATTGTATTCCTGGCCTAAACCAGCACCTTTTTTCAAAGTGGCCTTTCCTTTTGCAGTGGGAACAAGGTGGATATTCTTTCATCCCACCTGGTTTTTCCCATTGGCCATTACTCCTTACTTTCCCTTTCTTTTCACCGGCATACCTCATGTTATTCCCTTGAACTGGTTTGGTTTTGTGAGTTGCCATCATTGCACCCTCACCAACATCTTCTTGCCTCAAGAGCCTTGTTTGCTCTTGTGCTTGCAATGCATAAACCAACTCTATGAGTGTAACCGATCCCATGTCTCTTGAGTCCTCTAAAGATGAGATTTCGGACTCAAATCTTTCGGGTAGGCTGACCAGGACTTTCTCCACCACTCTCCTATCAGTCAACTCCACTCCCAACAGCCTTATCTTGTTTACAACACCCATTAACCTGTCAACATAGTCCTTGACCGTCTCTGATTCTTGCATCCTCTGCATCTCAAGTTCTCTTCTTAAATTTAGCACCTGCATGTTCCTTGTTGTGGTGCTGCCCATGTACTCTTCTCTCAGCTTATCCTATGCCTCTTTTGGAGTCTCATATGCCATGATCCTTGTGAATACAAGGTCTGTTATAGCAGCATGAATGTGGGAGAGAGCTCTTGGTGCTTTGGTTGTTTCTTCCTCATGCAATCTCATTTGGTTCAGGGTAGGATCCTGTCCTAAAGGAAGTGGCTGCCTATTTTCTTCCACATACTGCCACAGCCCCTGACCCCGGAGGAAAGCCTTTATCTTAACAGCCCATATGTGGTAGTGCTCCCCATTGACTACTGGAGGTGACATCAGGGCTAGTTGAGCAGCCATTGTTTCAAGTTTTGTGTCTGACGTAGGGTAAACAAAGGTGCAGATGTAGGTTGTTTTAGACTGAAAATGGGAGGTGTTCTTGAGTAGAGGTTGATGACTGAGTGTAAGAGAGATTTCAGGTTGTTTTGGTGTAAAGCTCTGATACCATTTGTTGGTATTTGGCCGGAGAACTCTAAGAAAGAAAAGGAGAAAAATATTGAAAAGTGAACTGCTGTATTTCATTATACTGTAACTTGCAACATATACANCCCACCATTTTCACTCTCATTAACTCACACCCCTTACTATTTACAATCTGACAGATTTGATTTTCAAAATGTAAAACATAATGATTTTCTAACATTTGTCCCACACTTAGGAGGCTTTGAGTAATTTTAGGTGCATCTGAGATAAGTTTTGTACCTGTGGAGATTTGGATTGCAACATCTCCCCTCCCCTTTGCTTCAACATAATCACCATTTGCTACTTTAATCCTGGACCGATTTGCTGAGTTTAATCTCACAAAATCCTGCAAGTGTGGTGTCATATGGTTTGTACACCCACTGTCAACTAGCCAGCCATCACAGCAGGTTGGTGGTGCACAGCAGGAGGCCATAAACAGTTGTTCTGCTCCCTGTTCTGGTTGATGGTCCTCTGTCACTTGTGCTTGCTGCTGGGACTGCTATCCCTTGCTCTTGCACACCCTCTCTATATGGCCAAACTGCTTACATGCTCTGCATTGTATTCCTGGCCTAAACCAGCACCTTTTTTTAGAGTGCCCCTTCCTTTGACAGTAGGAACAAGGTGGATATTCTTTCATCCCACCTGGTTTTCCCCATTGGCCATTACTCATTTCTTTCCCTTTCTTTTCACCGGCATACCTCATGTTATTCCCTTGAACTGGTTTGGTTTTGTGAGTTGCCATCATTGCACCCTCACCAACATCTTCTTACCTCAGGAGCCTTCTTTGCTCTTGTGCTTGCAATGCATGAACCAGCTCTGTGAGTGTAACCTATCCCATGTCTCTTGAGTCCTTTAAAGATGAGATTTTGGACTCAAATCTTTCGGGTAGGCTGACCAGGACTTTCTCCACCACTCTCCTATCAATCAACTCCACTCCCAGCAGCCTTATCTTGTTTACAACACCCATTAACCTATCAACATAGTCCTTGACCTTCTCTGATTCTTGCATCCTCTGCATCTCAAATTCTCTTCTTAAATTTAGCACCTGCATGTTCCTTGTTGTGGTGCTGCCCATGTACTCTTCTCTCAGCTTATCCCATGCCTCTTTTGCAGTCTCATATGCCATGATCCTTGTGAATACAAGGTCTGTTACAGCAACATGAATGTGGGAGAGAGCTCTTGGTGCTTTGGCTGTTTCTTCCTCATGCAATCTCATTTGGTTCAGGGTAGGATTCTGTCCTAAAGGAGGTGGCTGCCTATTTTCTTCCACATACTGCCACAGCCACTGAACCTGGAGGAAAGCCTTCATCTTAACAGCCCATATGTGGTAGTGCTCCTCATTGAATACTGGAGGTGACATCAGGGCTGATTGAGTAGCCATTGTTTCAAGTTTTGTGTCTGACACAGGGTAAACAAAGGTGCAGATGCAGGTTGTTTTGGGCTGAAAATGGGAGGTGTTCTTGAATAGAGGTTGATGACTGAGTGTAAGAGAGATTTCAGGTTGTTTTGGTGTTAAGCTCTAATACCATTTGTTGGTATTTGGTTGGAGAACTCTAAGAAAGAAAAGGAGAAATAATACTAAAAGTGAACTGCAATTTCATTATACTGTAACTTGCAATATATACACAACAAGGCTTACTGTATTACCAACTACAACAACCATTCAGACTTTAAATTTCAAAAACAAAGTTGGTAACTTAATACATCCTTAGTCTAAGCTGATTATACCTAAACATGTCACAAAAAATAACAACTACAGCACAACTCCAGCAGCTTCAATTTCGGCAGAAAACAAGGGAATGCAACTGCAACTTGGCACCAAGAAACTAATTCAAAAACAAACTAACTTAACTGAATTTTCCAGCAAATTATCAATGCTTCAACAAGTCAATTAAAAAGGCAGTAGAAGAATGTTTCACCATTCCTGCTTTTATCATCACAAAGATTCAATTGATTCAAAATTCGTAAGAACCTTAAAAATTATGAAGAATAGGAACAACAGGCTTTTATCTTTAATTTACTCATTGGCAGTTGCTATTAATAATAATTATTCCATGTAAAGAGTAAGATGAGCAATAAACGTATCCAAACCTCTCGAGAATCCTCTTGTGACCCTTCTATGAGCTTTATTGGTTCACTAATAAGATAATAATCTTATCAATTTTTGTATCTTACGTTTATCGTATCAAACTCTTACAAACGTATAAATAGAGCCTTCAATTGCATGAAGAGATATAATGTAATGAAATATTATTTACTGAATTAGGATATCTTGCAGATACATGGAGAAATAGAAAGCAACTTATACTCCATATTTATCACCTTGTATCTCCGCTTTATAAATTACTAGTAGGGATATGAATTTTAGCAGTATTTTAAAACCCAGCCTAGCCCGACCGGCTCAACCAGGACTCAGGACCTTCACCAGGCCAAGTTAACAATTTCCTTATTCACCCCAAACCCTAGAATTTAGGATGATGATCGGCAAATAATTGAAGGCCAGAATGTTGAAGCTTTTGAAGAGAAAGTGCAGGTGAGTGCAATAGTGGTGACGGAAGTGATTTCCGATGAGTTAATCAATCGCCAGAATGTTGAAGCTTTTGAAGAGAAAGTGCAGGTGAGTGCAATAGTGGTGACGGAAGTGATTTCCGATGAGTTAATCAATCAAAAATCGAAAAAAAAAAAAAAAACTGATGCCAGCAATAGTCGGCTTTTGCCAGCGATTGGCGAGGTGAATAAGGGTAGGGTGAGATGGGTTTTGGTCAAGAGGTTGAGGAGAGTATTTTTGTGGTGATGGGGAGGGTTGTCGATGTCGGCGGTGGTGAGATATGGCTAAAATCAATCGATTTTGGCCAAATCTTGGATAGATTTTCTAAGAAATGTGCTCAAGGAATGATTGGGATTGCATTTGTTGTGTTACCGCTGCCAACCAATCGACCGCTGATTTGTATTTGGAGTGTGTTTGCTAAATTTCAAACATGTAGAGACGTGACGTAATTTTTATAGTTGTATTTGCTATATTTTTTATTTCAGCCAAATCTTGGGTAGATTTTCTAAGAAATGTGCTCAAGGAATGATTGGGATTGCATTTGTTGTGTTACCGCTGCCAACCAATCGACCGCTGATTTGTATTTGGAGTGTGTTTACTAAATTTCAAACATGTAGAGACGTGACGTAATTTTTATAGTTGTATTTGCTATATTTTAAACTTTTTGACACTTTGTTTGTTTAGCCAATAAAACCAGTTAAACCAATCAACCCAAGACCTAACAACTTTGTTGAGGTTCACTCCGAATTGGTTAGTAAAACATTGATTTTTGGTACCCATATATTTTGTCAGTAAATCCCATCTCCAATTTAGAAGGGGTTAAAAATATTTTTTTTCTTAATTTAAGATGTATTAGTAACTGCAATGATTCTAAAATGTAATGGGAAAAATAACTCTGAATTCGTAAAAATTGGTCTTTAAAGTCAAAGTAGAGAAGAGCAACAAGGACAAGGAGATCCGCACTGAAGAACTCGAGACCTCTTCGACAGAGGATCAAACACAGAGATTTGTTAATTTTAATAACCGTTGAGAACTTTAATTAAATTTTGGAATTGTCAATTTTAGTTGACCCAAACTTCTTTATTTAAAAGAGTACAAGGATTACAAAGTGAAATCAGTAAGAGAAAAAAATAAAATAAAAAAAATAAAGATAAATAATGAAAATCAAGGATAAAGATTATTTTGTATACCCCTTTTGTATATGTCTTTGTAAAACTAGCATTGCTCTATTTAAAACTTGAGTAATACTATATTTACAAAATCCCCATACAAAGATATATGTACAAAGTGATATGTCATACCATAATTAGACAATAAATTTGACTTTAGTTAAAAGGTTGACTTTACAAATTCACTCTCCCAATTATAGTATGATAGATCACTTTATACACACATCTTTGTATGAAGACTTTGTAAGTGTAGTATTATTCTTAAAACTTTGTATAAGCAGTTATAGAAGAATAAAATATTTTATTACAATTATAACCTTACTTAAAATAAGATATGAAAGGCCACAGAGAAAAGGGTGAGGCCTAAACATTATATCCTTATTATAAATTCTATTCTTTCCTTTTCTTTTCTTTTTTCTTTTTTTTTTCTATATATATTATTTGGTTTAAGGGTGAATAGGGAGCTTTATTACCAGCTTAAAGACAGGAAAATAAACTAGGTCACTCAAAACAGAGTTAAAATTGGTACATGAAATCACTATCTTTAATTCCAAAATTCAATCGGCATCGGTTATTTCCTATCAAATACAACGGCATTATACACGGGAACTTCTTCGTCACTTACCACATCAATTATGTTACAGTGATGCTCACACAGAGTAATTTAGGGTTACACAACCAGGCAGACATTTTGTATTAGCCATAAAAAAAATCAATACAATTGAAAATCACATATTTGTGATTACATACTTGGAGTAGAGACTAATAGAGAGCACATTTCCAGCTCTCCGCCTCACTTCATTTAGATCTGGAGATCATCCAATGAGAGATCATCTACTGTTAGCAACTTCAGTTTCTGCAAATCAACACAAAAGAAGAATATCAGACAAGGCATTAAGCTGCAATAGGGGGAGACTTTAGAAGACACTGAATACAAAGAAATCATATACCGTTATAAATTGAGGAGGATCGTCGAGGCTTGTTGAGCCTAGAACAATTTCCCTGTTCAGCTTTGTTGTGAGCTTGTGGCATACCCTTAGCTGAGGATGAGATACCGTTTAAAAATTTGGGCCACAAGGGCAATTATTATTACATTGTATACACATGAATTGAAAAAGTTATTATACCTCTGATCTAGTAGCTCCACCAACAATAAATACAAAAATTCGTTGACCCCTCTTTTTGAAATCACTAGATGCGTGTCTTAGCACCGGATCACTGTACAGCAACAAGACAAATCAACCACCAAGACTAGTGTAAGGATAGCAAAAGCTACACTTTTTTTACCAAGGCAGTTCACCGATTGTGGATTAACACATGCATGGGTGGATGTAGGGATATGTAGATATGAGATTATTGTCTGTCATAACAACCAAGACCATCTATGAAATCACATTCGATTAGAGTTTATTTCTTAAAGAGGTAATGCTTAACAATTCCCTGAAGGACTCAAACCTAGAACTTCAAACGGTAAAGAGAATCCCCAGAAAGAAAAAGAAAAAGGGAAATACTGGACAGAAGTGTTTTCAGAGGAAAGAGCAATCCAGAGTGAATATTAAGAGCTAAAGTTCAAGGAATATAATCAACTCAGAAATAGTGAAAGAATGACCTTTTATGGGACAAAAAACCAAATAGGTAACTCCATTTTCAACCAATGGATATAGATGGAAAAAAAAAAAATGAATGTATCAGGTTCAACAAGAAATTTACAGCCAATTTGAATTTGACAATGACGTTTCCCACTGCAAGCATACCATGAACATGGCAGGTTAACCAATACATAAATATATGCTTAAAAAAAAACAAAAACCTTGAATATCCATCAACATCATCAGCGTTTCGAGCCCGTGCCCAAGTTGGTGTCCGCCTGGATCTCATCGAATGAGCTGGTGGATTATGATTTACTGCTGCAGACTGCGTTGTCCCATGGAAGCTTGGACTAGGGTCATTCATACATGGATAATCATCCTTTGCTAGTTCTCTTTTACTAAGCTTTTCAATAAGTTCCTGAAAGATGCAAAAATTGCCTTAGCAATTCCATAAAGTAATGAAGATCAATAAGAGGTTACAAAAGACAATAACAAATAATATTATGCAGCACCAAGTTCTCTTTACTGTCCATACGTACGCTCAGTTATGTAACAGGTAAAAGCAATCTTACCAGTTTTAAACTACAGAGTGTAAAGAAGTAAGGTGAGCTGCTCTCAACCAACAGTCTTGAAATATGCACATTTGTCTAAAAATAATCAAATAACTCCCCAACTTTTCTTCTTCTAACGTCACCAAAAGAAGGCAATAATGCAGACCCCAAACCTCATCAAAATATTACATCAAATACCTGAAAAACTATACTTAGGGGTACAACTTACAACTACAAACCACTTCCATGTCTGATATGAAGTTCAGATATAACCATCTATTCAAAACTAGAACCCCCCACCCATACATTCACACACACAGACAAGGAGAATTTTGGTAAGAAAATAAAATTTTATTAATTCGAAATCCAAATTAAAAGTTCAAAGGATATACCACACAGATCTTCCGTATCAGCTCTGGTAAGAAGACTAAGAAACTAAGGATAAGACACTATAGAACTTTGCAAGGAATAACTTCTATTACCTGCCCTATTTGCTTACCTATAAACATGGGCAAATACAATGACATGTCAACTATCTAATGGTAGAATATAAGTGTACCATAATAATGATTTATGAATACATGTATGTATGTATCACACAACAAATTGTCTACTGCACCGGATATTTGTAACTAAACTGATCCATAAACATACATATTCATGTATTAAAATACTTAGGTTTTGAGCGCTCTATACAAAATATTTCATAGTCCCCAATCAACTTGAAATATGGTAAGCTAATAGTGTACTGATTACATGAAGAGTGTAAAACATAAAATATGGTTCTCAAATTAATAATTTCACAAAAAGTTGTTAAATGAATTAGCACAAAAATCTTTGATGGTAGGTGTAAGGGCACTCCTGCTCAATTGAATGATGTTGCTCACAATATCATTGTTAAATGGCAACAAATATGGTGCTAATAATTCATTCATGCGAGTATTGTATGGTTGTGCCATGTATAGGCATGCACCACGTATTGATGGTGCCCACAATATATTACTCAAACCTAAGAATATTTAAAAATGTAAAATTCAATGACAACTTAACAACATATATATGATACAACCATATGAAATAAAACAACTTTAGAAGTACCTCTATCATTGGGTAAAAGCGTGATAACTGCCATGGTTCTTCTTGAGCAGTGCGGTCTTTCCTAACTCCTCGCTTCTTCTACAATTAAATGGCAAGAGAATGAAATGCATAAACAATACTCATTTGTTATAAATGAAAATCCAACAATTAGAAGCACCAATTACAGCAAAATATGTTTACCTTATGAATATCAAATTTAAGAGTAAAGGCTCCAGACGGGCTTTTTTTGCTATCTGAAGATCCCCCCAGCAATCTCATATTATTCACGGCAGCCATATCGTCGGGTGGTAAATTTGCTAACTGAAGTATCAAGAAGATTAGCGCCAACGTGAAAATAAAGAGAAACAAACCAAAAAAAAACTGTAAAACTGATGTCCATTAAAAAAAAAAAAAAAAAGAAAAAGAAGTTAAAAGATAAAGTCTGCAAGCCCATCATTGATTATAATTTTACCATTTTAAATCAGCAAGGCAAAAAGAAAATACAAAAATCAGATGCAAAAAACAAAAATCAAAGATAAGGATGTTGACCTTCATCAAATTGAGACCCTTTTCACCATCAAACTTCTCAGGATAAATGGCTGCAACAATCATCAACAAACGCAACTTATTTTCACGAGTTACATCCTGCATAGAAGTGATACTTTGATTTTACAAACTATATTGGATAATTATGATAAATCTATTTATATGTAGTACATGTTCACACCTCTTTTGTAGTCAAAAATTTAATTACATCCTTCAGTCCTGCATCACCAAAAGCAAGATCCTGCTCCAGCTGCCCAAGTTCTCGAAGTCCAAGCTCTCTAATGATTCTGTTGACTTTTCCCGCAATCTGCACAGAAAAAACTATTTTGCATTAACCCATGGCCACTTTTAGAGGAAAAATAGTGGTTCTTGGGTCGTTAGAGACTTGATCTAAACATTATTAAATTTCTCTAGGTTATGAAGATAATTCAGTTTGACATACTGGTATGATCATATTTCTCAGGGAAAATTGACTGATTTCAGGCTATGAAAGAACAGTTAGCAAACATACAAGAAAATATAAATGGGACAGCAGATAATATTGAAACAAACATGAATGAAGTTGAAAACAGTTTATTTCCTGAGCTATTTAAAATATTAATAAAACAACATATTTAGCATGACAACATAACAGTAATTTCCACACAACCATTTCGGCACGGTCTAAGACAAAAAAAAAAAAAAAAAAAAAAAAAAATAGCTTATCTAACCATCATTTAATTTCATGTCACAGTGTATTTATATTTAAACTCTTTCATTAAAGTAGAAACTTACCATACAAAATACAACCATAAATTATGTAGAGAAATTTCTCCACAAGTATCGAGTATCAATTTGATAAACAGTAAATCCTATCCAAAAGAAAATAACTACAAGAGAACAATCATAAAAGATAAGTCAATCCACAGTATATGAGATGTCTGTTATAAGATACAAGCAACAGCATGGCAACACAAAATGACTTTAAAAGATAAGGAATAAGGCAGATGTGAAAAGAAAGATAACTGAAATACTAAGAGATTACCTTTAATTGATTTTTTTTTTACTACTACGCACCACACCTATTCTCATGCAACAACACAAACTAAATTGATCTTCTCCAAGGTTGGCATGAGGAGGATTTGGTTCGTAAGGACCTAAACTCTTGCACCACTACTAGATTTAACCAACTAATTCTCTTGAGAACAACCCCTATTTCTAACAAGTTATCAATGACAGATGATAAAGACTGTTGTTCATGGAATGATCGCAACATATATACATTGAAAGGATGCTTAAAATGCACAAGTACTGATTCATAACCTCTTAGCTGTGAAGACATCTTAACAGTGGAAAGTTAAAGCCGATTATATCTTATGGCAGCAAAACATGACTGTCAATGGGAGGACATTATAATTAAAGAAAGTTGACACCAAACAAAGCACTGAAATTTAAATCAAATGAAATGTAAAATCAATTGTGGTCACATCAACTAGTAAATTGCATCCTTTCCCTAAATTTCAAGACAAAAGCATAAGTTGTGCGCCATGCTTCTTCACCAGGTTATGCTATAGAAACAAAAACATCTCATTATGAATATCTAAGTTTCCTTGTTCTTTCTGTTTTCCAAATTTCTTTTTTTCTTTTTGTTTTCCTTTCTATAATTATATTTTTTGTGTGTGTGTGCGCCTTTTTTTTTTTTTTTTTAATTGCCATTATCAAGAAACTAACCTCTACATGGAGGGAAAGCTTGTCAATTTGCTCACTGTATTGTGGCAAAGCTTGAACCATCTTTTGCAAATCCTTTGTAGAAAGTTCACCACCATCTCTATTCAACAGACAATCTTTTAGGTCAGAAACATAATCATGAGAGAAACACTTGCTCAAGCTAACATGCACAGCCTATACTAGCATAAAACAAATACGTAAATTTATATACACACAAAATATAATATAACTCCCAAAAAAATTAAAAAATGAAAACTAAAAAACCATAACAGCCGCAAAATATAATACTAACATATTATAAAAAAAAAAAGAACTAAAATGTTAATAATAAACAAAGTCCACAGCAATAATTTAATAAAGGAGTGCATAACTGCAACTTGGTAGCAAATATCTCTTCACACAGATATCTTGGTAAACAATGGGCCCAAATTCAGACATGAAAATCACTACTTACAACCGCCCACCCTCAACTGAAGGAGTGTATATATATATATATATATATAGATGTTAATCAATTTCCACTCCACAGGTTATAAGTACATATCCCAACTTTATAACACTTTTATGATTAGATTCAACATTTGGATGTTTACTTCGCAAGGGTAGCATTACTCTATGGAAATTTAGGTAGTCAGTCACTAGGTAATCATATCCTAGTTTATTTATTCACCAAATGATAACATATGTTATAATATTATTGTTCATGTGGAAAACATATTTTTCTACTTTAATTCCCATTATCATTTGTCTGTTTCAATAACCAGCTCATTGATCCATCTCATAAATCCACGAGATCTAAATGAAATCTCTTAAGATGTTTAATACTTCAACTAACTATATGATATACATTTTACTTTATTATACTTGAAGGATGCTTAAAATGCACAAGTACTGATTCATAACCTCTTAGCTGTGAAGACATCTTAACAGTGGAAAGTTAAAGCCGATTATATCTTATGGCAGCAAAACATGACTGTCAATGGAGGACATTATAATTAAAGAAAGTTGACACCAAACAAAGCACTGAAATTTAAATCAAATGAAATGTAAAATCAATTGTGGTCACATCAACTGTAAATTGCATATCTGAAGATCCCCCCAGCAATCTCATATTATTCACGGCAGCCATATCGTCGGGTGGTAAATTTGCTAACTGAAGTATCAAGAAGATTAGCGCCAACGTGAAAATAAAGAGAAACAAACCAAAAAAAAACTGTAAAACTGATGTCCATTAAAAAAAAAAAAAAAAGAAAAAGAAGTTAAAAGATAAAGTCTGCAAGCCCATCATTGATTATAATTTTACCATTTTAAATCAGCAAGGCAAAAAGAAAATACAAAAATCAGATGCAAAAAACAAAAATCAAAGATAAGGATGTTGACCTTCATCAAATTGAGACCCTTTTCACCATCAAACTTCTCAGGATAAATGGCTGCAACAATCATCAACAAACGCAACTTATTTTCACGAGTTACATCCTGCATAGAAGTGATACTTTGATTTTACAAACTATATTGGATAATTATGATAAATCTATTTATATGTAGTACATGTTCACACCTCTTTTGTAGTCAAAAATTTAATTACATCCTTCAGTCCTGCATCACCAAAAGCAAGATCCTGCTCCAGCTGCCCAAGTTCTCGAAGTCCAAGCTCTCTAATGATTCTGTTGACTTTTCCCGCAATCTGCACAGAAAAAACTATTTTGCATTAACCCATGGCCACTTTTAGAGGAAAAATAGTGGTTCTTGGGTCGTTAGAGACTTGATCTAAACATTATTAAATTTCTCTAGGTTATGAAGATAATTCAGTTTGACATACTGGTATGATCATATTCTCAAGGGAAAATTGACTGATTTCAGGCTATGAAAGAACAGTTAGCCAAACATACAAGAAAATTATAAATGGGACAGCAGATAATTATTGAAACAAAACATGAATGAAGTTGAAAACAGTTTTATTCCTGAGCTATTTAAAATTATTTAATAAAACAACATATTTAGCATGACAACATAACAGTAATTTCCACACAACCATTTCGGCACGGTCTAAGACAAAAAAAAAAAAAAAAAAAAAAAATAGCTTATCTAACCATTCATTTAATTTCATGTCACAGTGTATTTATATTTAAACTCTTTCATTAAAGTAGAAACTTACCATACAAAATACAAACATAAATTATGTAGAGAAATTTCTCCACAAGTATCGAGTATCAATTTGATAATAACATGTAAATCCTATCCAAAAGGAAATAACTACAAGAGAACAATGCATAAAAGATAAGTCAATCCACAGTATATGAGATGTCTGTTATAAGATACAAGCAACAGCATGGCAACACAAAATGACCTTTAAAATGATAAGGAATAAGGCAGATGTGAAAAGAAAGATAACTGAAATACTAAGAGATTAACCTTTAATTGATTTTTTTTTTTTAACCTACTACGCACCACACCTATTCTCATGCAACAACACAAACTAAATTGATCTTCTCCAAGGTTGGCATGAGGAGGATTTGGTTCGTAAGGACCTAAACCTCTTGCACCACTACTAGATTTAACCAACTAATTCTCTTGAGAACAACCCCTATTTCTAACAAGTTATCAATGACAGATGATAAAGACTGTTGTTCATGGAATGATCGCAACATATATACATTGAAAGGATGCTTAAAAATGCAAAGTGACTATTCATAACCTCTTAGCTGTGAAGACATCTTAACAGTGGAAAGTTAAAGCCGATTATATCTTTATGGCAGCAAAACTGACTGTCAATGGAGGACATTATAATTAAAGAAAGTTGACACCAAACAAAGCATGAAATTTAAATCAAATGAAATGTAAAATCAATTTGTGGTCACATCAACTGTAAATTGCCCTTTCCCTAAATCAAGACAAAGTGTTGTGCGCCATGCTTCTTCACCAGGTTATGCTATAGAAACAAAAACATCTCATTATGAATATCTAAGTTTCCTTGTTCTTTCTGTTTTCCAAATTTCTTTTTTCTTTTTTGTTTTCCTTTCTATAATTATATTTTTTGGGTGTGGGTGCGCTTTTTTTTTTTTTTTAATGCCATTATCAAGAAACTAACCTCTACATGGAGGGAAAGCTTGTCAATTTGCTCACTGTATTGTGGCAAAGCTTGAACCATCTTTTGCAAATCCTTTGTAGAAAGTTCACCACCAACTCTATTCAACAGACAATCTTTAGGTCAGAAACATAATCATGAGAGAAACACTTGCTCAAGCTAAATGCACAGCCTATACTAGCATAAAACAAATAGTAAATTTTATACACACAAAATATATATAACTCCAAAAAAAATTAAAAAATGAAAACTAAAAACCATAACAGCCGCAAAATATAATACTAACATATTATAAAAAAAAAAAGAACAAAATGTTTATAATAAACAAAGCCACAGCAATATTTAATAAAGGAGTGCATAACTGCAACTTGGTAGCAAATATCTCTTCACACAGATATCTTGGTAAACAATGGGCCCAAATTCAGACATGAAAACACTACTTACAAAACCCCACCCTCAACTGAAGGAGTTGTATATATATATATATATATATATAGATGTTAACTCATTTCCACTCACGGTTATAAGTCTATCCCAACTTTATAACACTTTTATGATTAGATTCAACATTTGGATGTTTACCTCGCAAGGGTAGCATTACTCTATGGAAATTTAGGTAGTCAGTCACGAGTAATCACTAGTTTATTATTCACCAAATGATAACATTGTTATAATATTATTGTTCATGTGGAAAACATATTTTTCTACTTTAATTCCCATTATCATTTGTCTGTTTCAATAACCAGCTCATTGACCATCTCATAAATCCACGAGATCTAAATGAAATCTCTTAAGATGTTAAACTTCAACTAACTATATGATATACATTTTACTTTGAACAAAGAATTAAAAAGACTGAACAAAAACCTTGTATCATAAAAAAAAAAAAAAAATATGAGAAGACAATACAGAAAATTATGGTATCTGACTTTGGAATGTCCAATCTGCTAAAATGCCTAGAGAACCATTTTTTTTCTGACAAGAAATGATGATAACATGTTATATAATCAAAGAAAAGGATTAAGAGGTCAGACCTATCAGGTTAAAGTTCCTTGTTAGCTAAGGGTGTGTTGTGTTTATTATTTGGATAGGATTTTTGAAAAAGTAAGAGTTGGTGTGGTTATTAAGAGGTATGATTAAAAATTAACAAAAACACTCCTACGTTGTTAATTTCATGTATGCAGTTAGTAAATTAACAAAAACACTCTCTACGTTTGTTAATTTAGCTAAACACCCCGCAATAAAATATTGAAAATTAACAAAAACACCCCACCATTGATGCCGCAGCCGGCCACCATCATCGAAGGGTGTTGGAGTCATCGTATCAACGTATGGCCATTCGCAGATCACTAGGATGGCCAGAAAATGTCAGATCTAGCACGTTTGGTCATCAAGGGGCATTACTATACAAACTGCACAACTCATCATCTTTTACCTATAACTTTGCTCATTAACATCTTTTTTAGCTGTATTTGCTGTAAATGAGACTTGGTTTAACCATATTTTAGATTGGAAAGAAGGGAGGTACTCATGGTTGACCACTGTGAAAAGAGCTTTCAGATCTCCTACTAAAGGAGTGGACAGGAGGCGTACAGGAAAAGAAGAGAAGAAAATGACCAGAGAGTGATGAGAGGTTTTTCTTTATGTTAATTTGTTAATAAAATAAATCTCTTACGTTTCTTGATCTGTTTATCTTCACTCTATGATCTATATATTGATTTTGTTTTGATGTTTTTGTGCAGAAGAGAGAGAAGAGAAGATGGATTTTTAGGAAAACTATCAATCAAGAAACGGTGACACAGCAAACCCAACAAAGGAGACAAGTACTGTTGTGGCACCAATAGTAGTAGCGGTGCTGTGCAGGTTGATCATGCCCCCACGCAGCAGCAGAACAAAGGCACGCCATTGATGTGGAGGTGGCTGGAATCTAGCTAATGCAGGTGGGTGGGGGGTTTTTGTCATTTCTAAACTTTTTTTGGATGTTTTTTAAATTAACAAACCTGGGGGTTTAAAAATTTTAATAAAATAGAATAGGATTTTCCTATTAGGGACAAAATGTATATTTTGGGTAGGATAAAGATAGGATAGTGCAAAAATAATTAAACAAACAGGCCCTAAGATGTCACAACCTTTTAGCCACTACGTTTCATTATTATTCATTGGCTTTCATCATCTTGCACTGCTACCAAACATATGAAGGTGATAACGATATCAATTTCATATGATTTACAGGTTCAAATTTTATATGTAAGCCATTAACAAATTGACTCAATGTCCCACATAATATACATAAACTAATAAAACAGATTCTTTGTGTTTAGAATTAAAACTTCAGCATATAAAAAATGAAAACAACATAATCTCCAATGTTATCATGCGAATACAGAAAAAACCTTTCACTAACCTTGAACCATGTTTAAGTTGTGCAGCTTTATTTTTTGATATGAAGTTGGTCATTTTCTCATGCAACCGTTCACTAGCCTGATGATCAAAAGCATTAGTGTAACTTATATATACTATAAAACAATTCACAAAATGTTTATAAAACACCAACATACATCTGCTATATGTGCATGGCGAAGTTCAAGCCAGATAGGATCATGTTCCTCCAAAAGAACTTCTTTCTTCTCTGGTGGACCACCTGTTTTACTAGGAACCTGATATAGTATAATTCTTTATAATAAGATAACCTAAAGGGATCCACCAACAGTTTCAAGAGAATACATAGAACTTCAAAAATTATAACTTACCTCATGCACATATTTATTTCCTTCCATGTTCAGTAAATCTCGGCAAATGGCATCATATGTCCATTCATGTATTATAGGAGCAATCTAGAAATGTAAAATCAACATATCATCACAGAAATAAAACAACTAATGGCAGTAAGCTTTAACAATGTATTTGACAACACGTGCATCAAAAAACCTGATCAACAGAACGGTCCAGGATAAGTAATTCGCATGTTTCTGTCTGAGGGAAATTCTCAATAGTTTGCTTATATTTCACAAGATGGTTCCAAACTCCGGCAGCAAGCTTTGTAGGAATTAGATCACGAAACGTTGTCATTGTCATTGCATCAAGTGATTTCGCGGCTCGGTAGCGCACAAAAGGAAATTCCTAAACATCAAATAGAAACATGCCTCAGACAATTTGCAATTCATCAAAATCAACATTTAAAAATCACTTTAAATACCCTCAGTGAAGCAAAAACTGTTGCAATGCGGGTGGCCATCACATTCAAGCACGCATCACCTTTTCGAGTATTTTCCTCATCACAGAAAAGTTCCTCTAAGGCCCTTTCATTATCAGTGACAAAACCCTGAATCAAGAAAAACCAAGGTTGACCAAAGCAATAAAAGCTCACATGGGCTTCAATGTAAGATGAGTAACCAGATGATGATACAGAAAGAAGCCTGACTATACTGAACTTATAAACAAGGGAGATATAAAATTCTTAATAACAGGCCATAAGCCATCTGAGCTCAAAACTTCATGGTTGAAGTCCATGAAAATATTTCATAAAAATTATTGTTCCCATGTTGGGAAGAATTCTAGAACATGGCACATACGAATGATAATACAAAGATGAAAATGAAGCCACTTTCCCTCAAAAACATGATTTCAAGAAGTCTGAAAATTTTGGTTGCCAATCTACTTAACAAAATTAAAAATGTGCAAAGCATGTGCTAGATGGCCAGTGCCGATAAAGTCAGCTATCATAAATGGTGTTCAAACTTCCCTTAATGAATTGCAGCATGTAATAGTTTCTTCAAAGAGAAGAAATTTGTATGTAGAACCAGCAGAAAATAAGAATGAGCAAAGAAACAGACCCATTCCATGTAACATCATGCAGTAACTGCATACTTTGCATAAAATTCACTCTCCTATGTTCTTGCTACATCATACCAACCTTAAAAAGGATAAAGAAGTAGAAAAAGCCTGTTATCTTGATTCAGGTAAAATATCACGGCAAAAACGAAATAAAAAGTCTGGTATTCTAACCCAGGTGAAATGTCATAGCATGACAATTAAAAAAAAGCCTATTATCCTGATCCCGGTGAAACCTTAGAGGATGAATATCAAGTGTCTGTTTGGTATCATTGCATGATTTGTGACCTTCACATGGACTCGGAGTTATTCACTGAAATTTCGCTATCTTTGAACACTACATAGGATCTGGTTGTCAATAAAAATATGATAAATGCTACTAGATAGATCAGGAAGAAAAACGACCATAGAAGATGGCAGCAACTAGAAAAAACAGAGCAGTTAGGAAAGCAAATTAGATTACTCATATCATCTACGAATACAGGATTCAACTCAGTGAAGTGCATCAAATACCTGGCTGTCTATAGCAAAGTACTCCAAATTCATCTGCATAATCTCAACCAAATGACAGAATATAAGTATGTAACAAATTCCAAACCAAAGAAGAGAAAGAGAAGACAAACTAATTGAAAAATGAAATTTGATTCTGAACAGTAATCAAAAGAACAAAAAACAAAGCAAGAGAGCTGACCTCTCTCAGTGCACCTATGCGAGGTAATACGGTTGCATCTTTCTTGATGTGAGACACCAATTCTCTAGAAATGGGTGAACTGAAGAAAACAAACGCCCTTCCACAAACCAAAATACATATGTATTTTTAAAACAAAAAATATATGTATATATGTATACATATTTAATATTAAAATTCACACAAAAAAGAATTTAATTAGTAAAATTTACACATACTTCTTGTACAGAGGAGACCTTCCTGACATGTCCGACAAGAACATGATAACACTGCAAAAGAGAAAGAAATAAATAAGCAAAACAACCAAAAGATGAAAGCGAAAGGGAGTGTGTATATATATATATATATATATATATATATATACACATCTTTGTTTCCTCTGAAAATAAATAAAATTCAATAGTAAGCTCCTCAAAATTATGTGAATGTGTCACAACAACTAGAATATAACAGATTTGTTATTTTCAAATTTACCCTTCTGCAAACTCGTATTATTTAGACATAACATGCAATAAAAGTCAGAAAGAAACAACCTAGAAGACACAATAATGAAAGTCCATTTCATGTAAAAGATATTATACAGGAACTCAATTGAAAAACAGGACACAGTAGATATCTAAAGGGTTAAATCCTTTGATCATAACACCAATCAAAGTTCATATGAATAGAGGGGTTCAACAATTTTTAATTAAAAAGAGGGAAAGAGACAAAGAAAAGGGAAAGCAAAGTCATCAAATTTAATTTTCATCATCTAAACAAAAGCAGGAGAACAAGAACAATTTCTCTAAGGTACTCAGGTTGCATTATGGAATATCCATCACAGAGATGGGAAATATACCAGTGTTGGTAGGAAATTTTACGTTTTAAGACCCAACATTGATTTTACCCAAAGGATTCATCTAAAGCATAGGTAACCGACATACTATAATGCAGTGAGCAAATAAGCAAGAGAGGGAGATTAGACTAGGAAAAATGGCCCAGAAAGATGTTGGGCATCATAGCTATTAACAATGGCAATGAATTCTCAGATCAACTGCCCTCGAATAAAAAACTGCAGGAGTTCAATAACAGTAGGATAACTTTCTATAGCAACTGCAAGGGAATCTGGTAGATTTTCCCTAAGAGGGAAAGTCTAATAAAATCACATCATATTAGTAGGTAATATTTGCTGAATAATTACTGCATTACTAATTTGTTGTTTGAAATATCCTGTTTGACAATTTTAGGGTCCTTTGGATCGTGAGGAATAGAAGGATTTTTGACATTAATAAAAGGAAAACATCCACTCATTTGTGTGATAGAGTTTCACTTTTAGCTTCCATTTAGACATCAGTGACATAAAAATTTTGAGATTTTTCATCTTCTTTCATTTAAGTTGTGAAGGACTTTTGGGGCGTATTTAGTTTTGATTGTTGGGAGCTTCTAGTTGGTTTTCTTTATCATTTTTTGATAATTGTCTTTTGTGGACTGTCTGGTATACACATTGTATTGTCTTTCTTGTTTTCTCAAGCTTGTTCTTCTTTAGTGGACTGCTTGTTCACTTTTGTAGAGCTCTACTCAGTGCTACATATTTCATAGTTTCTTATCAAAAAAAAATATATATATAGTTGACTCATAAATTATAGCTAGGGATTGATAATTTCAGTCTAAGAAGATTGTTTCTCAAAGTAGCTTGTATTCATTTGCTGTATATTTGTATCCCTACCAATATAATATATATATATATATATATATATATTTTATGGGAAAAAGATCCTATTTTATCACAGCAACTACTCACAAAAAAAAAAAAAAGACAGCGAGAGAGAGAACTAGCCTATAAAAGAAAACCCCCAAAAGAGTATGTAACTCGTAACCCCTTCCCAGATGGGCTGAATAAAGAAAAGAATCTTAAATCATATTAAAAATAAACAAATTATGTAAAAAAAAAAAAATTAAAATAACTTAAAGACATGCAAGTGAAAAAAAAAAAATGCGAAGGATAGTTAAAAAAAGACAAAACAACTTTTTAACCAAACTATAGGAAAGGAAATATTTAATATAACTACATTCAGAAGTAACAATAAGAAAATAAATTACTTCTCTTTGGTTGGTTGGATGAAGTATATAGCATCCATGGAGGGCAATGGCTGCCTTCGTTTGTGTATGTCTTCCACTACTGCAAGAAAGAAATAAATCAGTTTAATGTCATAGGCCTGCTTTGGTTTAAAATTTTGATAAAATTATTTGCAAAAACAAGGGAAACAAGAAAATAAAAATAAAATAGTTTAGGCTCAAAAGTTTCAAACACTTTCCCAAATACAATCCTAAGAGATAGCTTAAATTTTGAAAAAGAAAGAAGTCACTGTCTCCAACTTCCATAGTTCTTTAACACTGAAATAATTTTTTTAGATATTCAATCAAACACAATTTCCGATATCAAAAACACTCATAATATGACTCAAATTTTAGCTTATATCCTAGATTTTTTCAGATCATGAACCAAATGTCACTTCAACTAAACAAATGTTGTCATATGGTAGCTTATTAAATGTCTCATCACCTTACCCAATACCCTGACAGCTAAGCAAGTCAATGAATTTTCCAATTTTCTAAATCAGAGAAATAAAATGAAGCAATCTTCCAGCTTCAACATATAACATTCTTCAGAAACTTCTTAACTGAATTAAAAATGGCACTAAGGGGGTATGGTAGTCATAATGCCATCTACTCAGTCAACTTTCTAGCTCAACACTCACTGCTAACTTTTGACCTTAGAACAGTTGTGGTGTCCAGAAAACAATTGGAAACACCGAAACAGCAATGGCAGAATGGAATTCACCTATATGCATCTTTAAGCACTTTGCTCAAGAATGAGAAGAAACACTGATAGATTCCAGACATGTACCAAAAATTACTCTTTTTTTTTCTTTTAAAAGGAACAAAAAAAATGCACCCAAAATTACTGTTAAGTAATAACTGTTCTGTCTTTGTTCTTGAGCACAACTGTTCACAATTTTCTAAAAGAGGCACTATAAATGTTTAGAGGATGTCCTGTTGACTCTTACATGAAACTCCTTCCTGTGTGATGTCTGCCATCTTGCATGAGTAAGACATTATCTTAACAGTTAGTTTGTCCATGATGAGAACCTACATGTAAAAGACACAAGAACCCACATGAATGAGAAATAAAAGTTACCTGAAAACCAAAAATATTTCAGCAAAACAGAATCTAGTCAATGAAAACACAACCACGAAAGAAGGGTAAAAAAAAAAACCAACAAGATGCTATATTTTGCATCTAATTTCAATGTCCACCAAAAAAGCGTATCATCAGAAGGCAGAAAGAAGAAAAAGACAAAATGGACAAACAAAACCAGTAACCAACAATGCTTATGTTTGTAAGCATAAAGTTTAAATTCATGCCAAATTGAGGAAGTAAAAAGCTTGATCTGAGTCCATCAGATCTCATCTAAAGGATATGTACATTTGCAAGAGAAACTATGTCACAAAAGCCAAAGGACATTGCTGGATAAAACACGTGCGCAATGTTCTCAACAGAACTCAAATCTGGTAACTTAATTTGGACAAACTATAAGCATGCTATAAACACAAGTCTGGCGACAACAATGCCCATTTTTAGTGTTTGCAACATGTTACGGTCCCGTATAAAATCTAAATAAATGAAAGAAGTTCATGAAATAAGTTCCCTATGGCAAGGCAAGGCATCCAAGCTGCGAAACATAAAGAACAAACAAATTTTTAAATTGAAGAGAACAGATATATCCTCCAAGTCAATCTAGAAGCTAGCAAAATAATAAAGTACTCAGAAAACACAAAAGACATTATAATACAAGCTGAGTATACCTTCCAGGTTGATTTCGAGCTCCCTGTTTTTGCTGAGCGAAGCATTTCATGCAATAATCCTGAACTCCAACATAAAATTAAATACTTGTCAGTTTTTCTTAAACAGAATTAGTAGACAACAATCCCTGCTTAACTTTTAGTATACACAATAAGTAAAAAGAAAAAAGAAAAAAAAAAAAAGATTATGCATCAGTTAGCTTCAGTAGATGGTGAAAAGAAACATTAAGCACTATAGAATTATGATTAAAAATAAAGAACACTGCAAATAAGTCCTCAACAAAAAATCTCCCTCGAATTATTTATCGGTCACAATCAAGCTGTACCTCACAGACTACCAATTCTACAGTCCAATACCAAAGTGAGGAAAAATGTGGAGTTAAACTATCAATTTTGCCAATACAGCACAGCAAAGTGCAACTCCATGAGGCAACAACATTGGATAATAAGCTGTTTAAAGTTAATAACTGTCATAACAATAGACCAACAAACCTAGTCACTTGAGCTAGGATTTTAATCTTACTCCACTCCAACAAGAGAGGTAGTTACTTTGTTAGTGCACCAAGTGTAAATAGCTAAATGCTAAAATAACCTTTAAAACATGTAGGCAATTAATCGCAAATATTATAGCACCAAATCTATAATTGACCTAGAATCCTATTTCTGCTTCCCTTAGAGTGAGAGTACTTTCTAATGGGGTCTACTGATCAACAATAGTGTACTTCAACAACCAGGACTACAAACTATTCAGTCTCTAACGTGATCCATTAAAAGATAAGAGTTAACTTTTATTTTGGATCATTTTCAGTAGACTCTTTATAAAAAGTCAGGACAACTCAAATTCCTCATAGGTCAGGGATAGACCGTGATCATCACAGTAGCAGAAGAACTTAAACATGCATTTATTAGCATGAAAACTCAACATTCTGGTCAAACATGGATTCTGCTTTTAAATATAAGCATGACAGAATGCAAATTTGACTGCCCAAACAAATGACCTTCCCCTTTCTTTCATGTGAACTGCGTACTGATAGGAAGATATTTTGAACACAAATTCCCAACTTCTACAGAAAGGAAGACCCCCAGTTACCAACTTCTACTATACAATATTCTAAAAGAAACATTGAATATAATGCTAATCAATTACAATTTCTAAAGTTTCTCCACAGGCCGTTGCCTGCCATAATGGTAAAAAATTTCAGCAGATAAGTACAAGTCCTTTGGTTAAAGTGTTGAAAGCAGCTACTTTATGCAAAAATCTGCTGAAGGTGAGATCATAATTATCATAAATTTCCACTATTTCCCTCAACGTAAGACTAGTTACAATTACTACTTGAATTTCCTAGTGAACAAGGAAAACAACCTAGCCTGATGATTTGCTTCTTGATGTGTATAACAATTTGTGCATCCTAAAAGCACCATAATGAAGACAAGTAGTTGATTTAATGTTGGGTGCTCTAATTGTGTGCCTGTAGAAGGCATAAACAAAGAAATTTTTTTTATTATATCTAAACAAATCATTGAAAAAAGAAAAAACGACAGTACACTTTACAAGCATTAGGACAATCAAAATTTCATTATTTTAGTGATCTTAACATGTGTCCTTAAGGGCACCAGTTAACATTTCCCTTAAATGACCAATTCTTGTGGACTTATTTGGAATCTGACCTAGTCAAGGTAGAGTCAATCTAAATCATATACAATGTACTTCTGAATTAAGTGCATTTCTAGTTCAATTGCAGGGTCAATAGAAACTCTGCAACTTCAAGAATTGCTGGCATGAACTGCAGCACTACCTTGTACCTATTTGTTGAAATTTATTTATCTCACTGATATTCATATGCAATTTCCAGTTAGTCTTTCCAAGTCAAAGTCTTGTGATCTATAGGAACTACATCTAACAACTATTAAATTAGCTAAAGAGTATCATAGAAATCTGCATACACTTACAAGCTTTACTTGCAGATGTGATTACCTACCTTCCCAATTGCAATTGCTTGAAACGCTAGTCAACATTGCCTAGATTCTATCCTTTTATCTTTCGATTATTCTCTACTGCTCTAAGTTTCAACAACCTGTGCTATCACCCAAGCACCTAAAAAGACCTAAACATTCAACTGTTACAACCAAAATCAATCCTCAATCCATCTGAAACCTACACAAATTAAACTGCAACCTTAAAATCCAAGTTACAGTCCACAAATTCAAGATTTTACACCGCATCACAGAACTTGCTTCAAATTCACAGAATCATAATACAGCTTATACTAGTTACATTCCCTCAATTTGCATAAAGCTCTTGAAGTAGCATTTATCTTTTCAGAGATATTTCATATATCACAATCAATCACGAATAAGCTTCCAACACTAAATCACTCCATTTATCAACTGAAATGCTTCGATAACACAGCAGATCATAGAACATATGATTATGATAATTACGATGATGATTAGGTCTTTCAATTTCGATTTTCAGAACTGAACTCAAAAAGAGCAAAATAGAAGGCACTCACGTTCACGGCTGATTTGTTTGAAATTCTTGTACTCGCCGCCGCCGTACGACGACGAGGAGTCTGAATCCGAGTACGACATGTTTGAGTCTTGGAATTCTCCTCCTCTCAACCGTGTTCCTGCGCCGTGTCGACGGATCCAAGAACGACAGCGTTTGGAGAAACAGTGAGAGATGTTCTGCTGGCTGAACAGGCAGAAATGTTTTTTATTTCTTAAAAAGGGAAGTTAATTGAAAATTATTAGTAGGCGAACTTTGAAACGGTATTCTTCGCGTTTCGTATTTGACTGGGAAAAGAAATGGACAGCACTGGACCGGACCGGAGTAATTTTGAAGCCATCAAATCTTACTGTTAAAACTGTTGGATGCAATTAATAATTATGGGTGCATTTGGCTCCCTATTTTTATCCATATTCTCAATCCTATTCTCTAAATAATGTTTGGCACATTATTCTAGAAATATTACTCTATTTTTTAAATTATTTTTAGACCCCATAAGGTTATTAATTTTACTAAATACCCCCTAAAAAAAGTTTAAAAATTAACAAAAACACCTCCATCAACCCAACTTGTCAGATTCCGACAACCACTGTCGGTGATAGCCAGAATCTATACAACGGCCTAAATTCCGACCATAAATGGCTGGAATTTCACCGATGTAGCCTTTTCCGGCCAGATCCACCATGGATCTGGCCGGAAAAGGCCAAATCTGGCCGCCAGCGATGACCAAAGAAATAGTTGTCGTTGACCAAAAACGATGGCCACACCAAAGATGACTGTCGTTTTGGCCTTTCCGACCGTCGACGGCCATAACAGGTTGTAGATCTAGCCTTTTCCGGCCAGATACGTGGTGAATTTGGCCGGAAAAGGCCATAATGACGCATTACGGCACAGATCCGACAGGTCTGTGCCATAACAAAATTTTTCGACCAGATTTCGGCGGTGGTGACCGAAATCTGGCACTGCAGGTGGTGGGGGTGTTTTTGTCATTTTATATATTAAGGTCTTTAATTAAATTAATAAACCTAAGAGTTTTTTCATAAATTTTTAAAATTTACCTCGTAATACTTCTCTATCCAATAACCCAATACTATCTTTAAAATCATATCCAAAATAATATACTAAACGCACCCTATATTTGTATCCTCTGATTTTTAGTCATTAACGACTCCGTATTAGTGTTTATCACTCACTTATTTTGCGCTTCATTGACGAAGGTCTGAAGTTTTTCCCCAAATGGAAAATTCTTTTCTTTCAAGGATTTTATCGTTTCTGATTTCAACTAATTATCCTTTTTTTTTTTTTTTTGCTTGTTGATTAATCAACATGGATTCTAAAAAGGCAAACATTGTGGATAGAAAGTTTGTTATTAAGAGGATAAGCTTTTGTGTATACATTAAAAGATGATAATTTTCTGATTAAAATGCATTATTTTGTTACTAAGGAATGGATTATAAAGAAAGTTAATAATATTCATAATTGATCTACTTTTCAATTATCTTTTCATATTTCCTTTCTTTTAATATATATTATCAATGTTCTGAAATTCGACTGATCTTTTTCCCATCCAAGATTTTAATTTTCTCAAATCCTTAATTTGATCACCGACGAGATGGGGCTATCAAGTGTTGGAGTTAGAAGCTTTTGTAGAGTGGACACCGGTAGTTCACGGGGTAGTTGGATTGAATTTTAACGTCAAAATTTAACTCGAAAGTTCAACAATATGGGAATCACGACTGGTGAACGAGGGCTACCAAATACTGAGATTAGAGGGGTTTTATAGATTGGGGTCAATGGTTTTGGGTGGTGTGTTGATTGAACTATGGAGGCGAAATTTGGCTAGAAAAATCAACCTAATCATGGCAATGTTCGCTACTCATAACCGACAAACAGAAGGCTACCAAGTTCTAAAGTTAGAGCGGTTTTGTAGAGTGGGGATGCGGTTTAGGTGGTGATGTAGGATTGAATTTTGGCCTCGAAATCAACCAAAATTTGGCCTGAAAGTCAAAACCCAGCAAATTACAGGGTGTATTACTATATTTTAACTTATAGGGATTGAAAAGTTAAGGGTGTGTTTGTAAGAATTTAAACTTTTTGGAACCTAAGATTGGTCAAACTGTGAATCGGGACCTGACGGGTCAAGGTTAGTCCGATTTTCAGAACATTATTTATTATGTTATTGAAGCCTTTATTTGTAAGCTTATAAGCATTTGTCGTAGCAAATGTATATATAAAGGATGAGACAAACATTTCACACAAAATTGATGGAATGGACATCCATAAATATTAATGCATGCATTTACAGCATATGTTCATAACACTTTTTCTTTGATGATCATACACAAATATGCATCGTTAAAACCTTTGAAGTAAAAGCCCTTGAAAAAAAAAAAAAAAAATAGCATAAAATATTATTAAATGTTACTAGAAAAAAATTTGATAAAATCTTGAAAGAAAAAAGGTAATTGTACTGTATCCTTCTAGAAAAAGATTATTTATTTTTATTTTTTATGATCAGAGATATTCAAATCAATTTACGTATATCCATTGATTTCTCAAAATTCTAGAAAAAGCTCCAGAAAATGGTTTATGTATTTTGTTTTAATTTTTAAAATACACACAAAATTTTATTTGGAGTGATGCCGTTGGCACCCTATCTTTTATCTTTTAGACCACTTTAGAATTTTCTTTCTAATTCCAATTTTATCCTCCCTATAAAATTACTAAATAGGCCACACTAAAAATATAATTACATCTATGATACATAATTACTACAAAAACCCTAATTTTATTCTACACTATAAAACTTTATTTTTAATTAAATTTTTTAATACATCTTTTATCAATTTTTGTTCAACTATCTTTTTTTTTTTTTAACTTTTTATTGATAGAAGAAAATTAAAATGTGTTACTGTTTTTGAGAATGGTTATTCCAATTCCCTAAATTTGGGAGAAACCGGTATTTCAAGGGTAAAAAGAAGAAATTCCTTTAATACCCCTGTTTTTTTTTTTTTATTTATTGTTACAAGCAATTTGGGTATGTTTGGTAGATTACTTGAAAAATGATATTCTAAAGACTATTTTAAGTTAAGTTGAGTTGAATTAAATCTAATAAAATAGGATTATGAGAATGTGTTGGTATAATATCTAAAAATTATACCGAGTTGGATAAAATGTTGAAAAGTTTTGGTACGTTTATGGAAAACATTTTCTGAAAATATTTAAATTATTTTAACCCTCTATATTTGTTTATTTAGCTAAACAGCCCCACAATAAAAGTTTAAACACCCCACTCACCCAAACCACTATCAGCCGCCAACCACCATCGTCAAACAATAGCCAACAGTCATCGAACGGCCCATGACCGGTTGGATTTAGCGGGTCATGTACTGATCTGACCCTTTTCGACCAGATCTATAATCATAATTTGGTCGTCGTTAACAGCCAAAACATGGTTGTCAACGATGGCCAAAATCTGGTTGCCGTTAATGATGAGATAGATTTGGGCGTTCGACTATATCTAGTTAGGATCTAGCCATCAATGACCAAATCGACGCACAGCTAGGCATATCCAACCGGTCGTGTGTTGTTCCAATGCCGACGGTCGGTAGTGATCGCCACCGACTACGATTGGCAATGATAGTCTTTGGTGGATTAATTTCAAATTGGGAGGAGAGAAAGCTAATTGTTTTTAGTTGAATAGAGGTGGAAAAATGTTTTGAGTTGAATAGAACAGGATAATAGAAAACAAATCATCCCTTCTTTTCATTTTTAATAGAAAAATTTTATTTGATTTAGATTAATTTTCAGAATGATAAGCCCAATAAATAAATAAATACATATTTTATTTTCTAATCCAAATAGGATAATAGAAAAATAATTCAAAAGAATGAAACAAACAACATAATCATGTTTGTTCCTTCACTTATCCTTGTTCTCATCCCGATCCCTATTCTCATTCCCATTACCACTCCAGTGTATTCTCTGAAGTAAATGCCACCTTAAAGAAATTGAATCCAACTTTAAATTCGAACTTTAATCCATTCTATTTCTCTAAATTCATATATTTTCTAGACTAATAATCTCGTCCAATAACCTGTAACTGGGGGCCAAGTGTTGATATTCTATTATACTGGACTTAAGTATATAGGCGAAACCTTAGGGACCAAAATGTGATTACTTCTTAAATTATTCCTTAGTTTATAGACTCGCGCGGTAACATGTTTCCGCCTCATTCCCCCAGTTCCCCAATGGCAGCCGCCGTACTGCAAGATATCAAAAAGCAACCTCGCCCGGGTCGGGGCGGGTTCCAGGCCCATGGGCTAACCGAAGAGGAAGCTCGAGTTCGGGCAATCGCCGAAATCGTTAACTCCATGGTTGATCTCTCACGGAAAAACCAAACTGTAGACCTAAATGCAATAAAATCTGCCGCATGCCGCAAGTACGGTCTCGCACGTGCCCCAAAGTTGGTTGAGATGATTGCGGCTCTGCCGGAGACTGACCGTGAGGCGCTCTTACCGAAGCTGCGAGCTAAGCCAGTCCGAACAGCTTCCGGAATCGCCGTTGTGGCCGTCATGTCGAAACCGCATCGATGTCCACATATTGCAACGACCGGAAATATTTGTGTTTATTGTCCAGGTGGACCGGACTCTGATTTTGAGTATAGTACGCAGAGTTATACTGGATATGAGCCTACTAGCATGCGCGCAATTAGGGCCAGGTCGGTGATTTTCGCCGTCATCTTTTTACATTTTAGTGTTTTTTTACTTGTGCTCAAAATTGCTCTTGTTGATGAAGAGAAATTGGGGGTTAAGATAATAAATTTAAAGTGATATTTTTTATGCAGAAAATGATTAATTAGATGTGGAAGAGTACATTGGAAATTTAGGGTTTAGGGAATGTTGTGCTATTATTGCAATTTACTCCCTAACTTTATGGCTTCAGATACAACCCATATGTCCAGGCCAGAAGCAGGATTGACCAGTTGAAGCGGTTGGGTCATAGTGTAGATAAGGTGTGGCCTTCTCTTCAGTTTTAATTAAATTATATGTTTTTAGTTGAACCAAGGGCTATGTTTTATTGAAAAGCACACGTTTGCCATTTTTATATGTGTATTACTCTATGTTGTCAGGTTGAGTTCATCTTAATGGGTGGTACTTTCATGTCACTACCGGCAGATTATCGCGATTACTTTATAAGAAATCTTCATGATGCTTTATCAGGACACACCTCTGCCAATGTGGAGGAGGCTGTCACCTACTCTGAGCATAGTGCAACAAAGTGCATTGGCATGACAATTGAAACGTGAGTTGCTAAATGAATTGTTTCGGATGATAAATCCTTACTTGCTTTAACCCCATGCTACACTCTTATTTTAAGTTGCTTTCATCTTCCTGAGGAATCACTTGGTAGTATGCTACTCAAATATATTCTATTTGGTTTTGAAGTTTTATTTTCCATGTATTAACAGTAAATATTAAACCAGATACTTCAGTCATACTTTATGATTTTGCAATGTCAAATTATGCCAAAAATAAAATTGGCTAATTTTCTTTTTATTCCTAATTTACTAGGAGACCAGATTATTGCCTTGGACCTCATTTGCGCCAAATGCTTTCTTATGGTTGTACACGATTGGAGATTGGAGTTCAAAGCACATATGAGGATGTTGCTCGTGACACAAATAGAGGACACACAGTAGCTGCTGTGGCTGATTGTTTTTCCTTGGCAAAAGATGCTGGTTTCAAGGTATGCTACTGCTCTATCAAATATGCTTATGTGCCTCCAATGAAAAGCGAATCATTCTTTACTTAAATTATGTTATTAAACGCCTGATCTTATATCCACATAAATAGAAATTTAATTTTTTTTTACCTTGAATATAATTTAAAACATGGTCATTCTGTCATACAAGTTATTGGAAAATCATTTATTAGCTTGAGTTTGGCGCTTTCTTTATAGTTCTCAAATAAGTGGAGCTCAAGTATCACAAATTGAAAATATATGAACTCATATGCTATGACATTTCTCCTGAATAATAATTTAGGGGGTTATGAGCATAAATATTTAGCTTTCATGTGTTCTGCTGAGAAATATGCCATTTTAAAGTTTTAATTTCTTAATTTTGTTATATTTAGGTTGTTGCTCACATGATGCCCGATCTTCCAAATGTTGGAGTTGAAAGGGACATGGAAAGTTTCCGAGAGTTCTTTGAGAGCCCATCATTTAGAGCAGATGGCCTTAAAATTTATCCTACACTTGTGATTCGTGGAACTGGACTTTATGAGCTCTGGAAGACTGGCAGGTACAGAAATTACGCACCTGAGCAACTTGTGGACATCGTAGCAAGGATTTTAGCCATGGTACCCCCTTGGACTCGTGTATATAGGGTTCAACGGGATATTCCCATGCCCTTGGTTACTTCTGGGGTTGAGAAAGGGAACCTTCGTGAGCTAGCGTTAGCTCGAATGGATGATTTGGGCTTAAAATGCCGCGATGTTCGAACACGTGAAGCAGGAATCCAGGTGCAGAAACAACCATGCTTTTGGTACTTGTTGTCTACTAAAACTTCAACAATTTGAAACCTGACTAATGTTGTGCTGGATTTAGGATATTCACCACAAAATCAAGCCAGAAGAAGTAGAGCTTGTCCGTCGTGATTATATGGCAAATGAAGGTTGGGAAACATTTCTTTCCTACGAGGACACACGACAGGTAATAAGGAATTCATCTCTCTCTCTCTCTCTCTCTCTCTCTCTCTCTCTGTGTGTATACGATTGTGTCCATTGGTATTCATTTGCTCACGGGCTTTCAATTCATGAAATACAAAAAGGTTACTAGGAAATGAATTCCTTACACTATCTTACACTATCTGGTGTGGTATTTTCCATACCAATTCATGCATCAATAGAACATTTCACCACTATAGATCGTTCTTCTCAATAACTTATTTTCTGCTATATTGCTTTGTGACATTATGCATGATGGAACCAGTTTGGCTGGCTGAAATGATGTGCCCTTTACAAAGAAAATAATTTATCTCTATCTTATCCAAGAGGAAAAAGAGTGCCCATTATATTTTATACTTTGTACACAGGATATTCTTGTTGGATTGTTGCGCTTGCGGAAGTGTGGTCGGAATGTTACTTGCCCAGAGCTCATGGGGAAGTGTTCAATTGTTCGTGAACTCCATGTGTATGGAACTGCTGTTCCTGTGCATGGACGGGATGCAGACAAGCTGCAACACCAGGTAATCTATATGTATAGTAAATTAGTAATGACTAGAATTGAACTCTATAAAAATGTCTAATGGGATCTGAATTTCATTACAGATTTAATTATTTA